TCAGTGGCTGTGCCCTTTCCAGGTTGTGGCATGGCTATTTCCAGGCTCAGGTTTTGCTGAGGAAACCACTGGTTTACGAAGATGTGCGCTTCATTTGCATCTTAAGCCATCTCTCTCTCTCCTCTTCTTAGAAAACAAGGAATCACAACTGTAGCCTTCCATGATTTTTTAAATAATAAAATTCTATCTCCCATAAAGTCTAGCCAACATCCCCCTGGGATGGGGATGATGGAAAATGCAGTTTAGCAACATCTGAAAGGCCACAGTTGCCACCCCCGGGTTCAACTCGGTGAAAGCTGAGGTGGAAGGAGAAAGAAGAAAGGGCCTACACAGGACTCTTCTGGTTTGCTTCTACTCATGTGGAGCCAGCGTAATGTGGGAACCATACCTGCTCATCTTGCATGACTTTTGACCCCCTTCAAGCTTACAGTGAGCTGAGGCTCCTGGGTATAGAAAATAATTACTTGAGAGGCTTGGATTTAACAGAGGTGGAAGAGGGATTAGGGGAATTCATGAAGATGTGTGTCAGGAGTGGCTACTATTTAGGATGTTTATACAGTATATCACCTTGACTATCAGAGGCAGTTAGCCCCTATGTATCACTTGTTAGCTTTGTGAGGGGAAGGATGCAGTTGCATTTATATCCTGCTGTTGGATTCCCTGCCTAGAGGCATGGACTGGCCACAGTATCCACAAAATATTGGGCTAGATAGGCCTGTGGTGCGGTCTAGCTGCATGCCTCTTATGTTAAGTAATACGTGATCTGTCTGGTTCACTTTGCAGCAGATAAATGTGTTCATCTAAGTCTCAAGGTGTGGCGGGTTCCTCTTCAATCAGCCTGCCAACAAGCTATTGCTTCTTCTAGAGTACTGTGTGGATTTTCCTTTTCTTTTTTCCATTGTCACCACTGGGAATGCTCAGTCCTTGTTGGATGTTCTGGGAAGATTTCTCTCCCGTTAGTATTTTGTTATTTCTTGTGAACTCCGGAGTTCCTTCGGGCATATTCTTTGTTTCTCAGTGCTCCTATTCTGGCCACAGTCCTGTTGGCTCTCAGCAGCTGTATTCACTGTCTATTCTGGCCACAGTCCTGTTGGCTCTCACTGCTGGAAGGAATTTTATTCAGTGTCTCCCACTGAGCTCACTGGTCCACTTTTGTAGGTTTGTGCAGTGTTTAACACGCACACCTGTTGGCATGCCAATATCACCTACAATCTGCATCAGTTCAGTCCTTCAGATATGAGAAGGTGCTGGTAAGTATTGAGCCTTTCCCAGAAAAAAATGAGCTAGGAAGCTGTAACTGCCACACTATTCTACATTCCTCCATGAAGTCAATGCACTTGTGACATCTGTCCTACAGCTTCTTAAAGCCCTGCATATAAAATTCTTCCGACTGCTGGTGTAACCACTCATTTGCAGCATTTGTTGCCTTCAGAACACTCCCAAATCGTTGTCCCTTTAGGTGTTTTTTGAGTTTGGGGAACAGATAATAGTCAGAAGGAGCCAGGTCGGGAGAATAGGGTGGATGGGGATCACTTGAAAGTCTAAGGAGGTCAGTTTTGTCATTGTTTCACCTGCAGTGTGTGACGAGGTGTTGTCATGCAACAGGATGACACCTTTGGAAAGCTTTCCTCAACGTTTTTCCTTGATGTTTTGCCTCAGCTTCATCACTAAAGCACAGTAATGTTTTAAATTGATGGTTGAACCCTATTGGAAGTAGTCAATCATCAGAACTCCCTTCTTATCCCAAAAAACTGTTGCCATTTGCTTCTGCACCAACCTTTGCACTCGGAACTTCTTTGGCCTGGGGGAACCACTGTGCCTCCATTCCTTAGACTGTTCCTTTGTCTCAGGATCATAACAGTAGATCCATGTCTCATCAACAGTTGCCAGTTTCCCCAGGAAATCTGACTCATTTCTTGTAAAATGTTCCAAAACAGCCACCGATGACTCCACTTGTTTCCTCTTTTGTTTGGTTGTCAAAAGTTTGGGGATCCACTTTGCTGCCAGCTTTCTCATTTCCAAGTCGTTGTGGATAATGGCACCAACTCTCTCACATGATATTCTCAGATATACAGCGGTACCTCGACTTACAAACTTCATCCATGTTGGAACGGCGTTCGTACATCAAAAAGTTCATAAGTCGAGGCAAGATTTCCCATAAGAATGCATTGAAAACCATTTAATCTGTTCAGGCTGTTTTTCGTTTGTATGTCGAGATGCTGTTCGTAAGTAGAGGCATTAGTTCCCATAGGAACTAATGCAAAGCCGGTTAATCCGTACTCTACCACTATGGGGAGAATATTTTAATTTTTTTTCTTCTTTTGACCTAAAATGAACTTAGGT